CGTATGACTAATAGAAAAAATTTTATGAAACAAATTGTTAAAATGGTAATTATTTACTAAATTAAATCAATCTTAATCGCTTACCTTCAAGAGTTAACAATAATCACGCTTATATTTGTATTTTAGGTTAAACAACAAAAATTAACTAAGAAGAAGACAATCAGTAAATATCGAAAAACAGAAGGATATAAAAATCTTTTGTGGAAATTCAACTTATTAGACATCGATGGCTTCATTAAAAATAATAGTGGGGAATTACACCAACTTCAAATCAATAGACTCAATAATTTATTAAGTGGTCTTGAAGAATTTTTTTCAGAATATTTTGAAAATAGAGCAACTTTTTTAAGCAATGATCAAATTAAAATATATTTTTCTGTTTTCGTCAAAAGTACAGATATTATACGTGCTACAAAAAGTTTTTACGAAGAGCCAATGTTTTCAAACATGTCAGTAAGTGGCAAATGAAATAATTTGGTATGGTCAGGTAATGATAAATTTTAATGTATATATTACACTGGGTATATTAATTGATAAACTTATCTAATTAAAATTTGTTTAAAAATAAGGCATTATTACTTTTCTAATATTACAGATCCAGAGTGAAGGAACTGATTAATCTTATTTTAGTTTATTGGTATGATACATTTGAAGAAGAAGAATTATGAGGATGTTTAAAAGTAGAATTAATCGATCATTATAGTTGTATACCGGTAGAAAGTATAAATAAAACTGTTCATGTAGTTTCAAAATTTGGTAAAATGAATGAATATTTAATAAACAACAATATTTTTTAACGATTTTAAGGTATATATACTGTACAAACAAATGTTACACGATTAAAAACATATAAATAGCAAATGTCGCTCTATTTTGGATCCAAAAAATATATATATATATCAATTATATAATATATAGATGATTAAAGATTTTCATTGCATTGAAATATAGCAAGTGGATTTTTTGAAGTAGGCTTTAAAGAACTTGACAAAATTATCAATACTGCAACTTCTTTCTATAACATGGCCAATATTCAAGTCAACCCTTCTAAATCTATTCTAATATCTAAATAACAAAAAGTTAATTATTTAAGTAAATTCAAACAATTTTATTATGTATTTTAGATCTATTTAATAATAATATTTTATATCTTTTATGAATAGCAATGATCGTTAATGAATTAATCTTTCAAGGAAAATCCTATTTTACTATGGGCAATATACAGGAGAACTTATTAATCTAAATAAAAGAAAGAATATAATGTAAGAAAAAATACTTGTCTCTTAAACTCGGCTTCTGTCTTATTGTTTAATCTATGTTTTGTCGTACTGATTTATTTCTGTATATAGATAGCTAGAAATTGAACCAAATAATACAATTCATTAAGAAATCGCTATGTGATGAAAATTAGGAAGAATCCCTTGTAAACTTAGATAACTAATAAACAAACACCTGCGAATTTGTTTTTTTATTTAATGGACTCGGGTAACGAACTTTCATTATTTAGTGCTGTTCGTTTATCACTCATATTCATCTAATGTTATGTATAGCAAACACTTAATTCTTTGTTGATCTGAACTTTAAGGCTTTGGGCATTTATATGAGCTATTGTACGTCCAATAATATTGATGAAAGGGAACATAGTTTGTGGCAAAAATAGTTGCAACATTTTACCTTCATGAGTAGCGATGTGAATTTTCTCAAATAACCCAGAAAGTAGCTACTGTAGGTGCTGATACATGATTAGTATCTAATTTTCAAAAAACTAACACATTGGTAGCTACTAGCCTACCTTGGCATATTATTGACCTAACAGGTATTTACCATTATATGCCAGTGGAAAATACCTACCGGTAGCTACTAACTCACATCACTATTCGGAAGTATTCGTTTTTTTTCTTTCGATTCCAAGTTAAGATCTGTATTAATTTTTTTTTTTTTTTAATGTTTCACGAGCTTGTCTTTAAAATAGGTACATGCATTTTCAATCACTTCAATTAACCGGTCTATTCTCTATGCCACTAATTACAACTTTAATAATTTTTCTAGTCAGTTAAATCTCTTATAATTCTTTTTCTCTAATTGTCAGCCTAATTCTTTTTTTTTTTTTTTTTTTATAGGGCTCAATAGGCTTCAGCATTTTGCTAATACCCAACGTTTTTTGCTCTTGCGCTATAATTGATAATATGCAAAATAGATTTTTTATTTGGCGTTTCTATATGTGAGTAATATATATATAGACATGTAATATCTTTCATAACAAACTTTAAGAACTGCAATACGATATAGAAAGTGCGTGATGGGCTCCTGAGAAGCAGAATAAGTCTGTGTATACGTTTTTCAGATAGAGTTGATCATATATATACTATTATTTTAATTGTTGGTCTATATATATATATATTTATTTATTAAATATCTTATTCATTATCTAACAAACACTGGTTATCTAGCAGTGAAAACTAAATGGGCGGGTGAGTAAAATATTTTTATCAATTGATATGTTAATGGCATATATTTTTACTATTATCTAATATTTATCAAATTTACTTTAATATAGTTCGTAAGTATAAGATTATTTTATTAAATTATTAAATTCACCAAATTTACAATAAAATATATCTATTTAATTTCATTAATTAGTTTAGAGATTAGAACCGTTCAATAGTTTATTAGTTAACCGATCAATATCCAAGGTAATACGAAATCTAAAGTTGATTCTAAATTTTAATGCCCAATACTGTAATAAACTTGATATAACGCCTTATAATCAAATTTACCTGTGTTTTGTCCTAGTTCCAGAATTGAATAGTATTTCTTTAATACTTATAATGTTTGAGAAACAATCTTCAAAAGTCGATAATGTTAAATGCAATTGCGAAGTGTGTACATGAAAATTCATGTTAAAATGTAAATAAAAATATAATAATAATTTGCTCTAGTAGCTATAGTTGCCATCAAAATAGTTATTACTATTAACCCAAACTGGTTGTATTTGAAATTTTGGCTCATTGGATCTATTTCCTGAACCTTGGTTATCATTTTGGCCTTGACCTTCACCACTGTGTTTCTTATTCACACCATTGCCATTGGATCCGTTTTCTGAACATTGGTTATCACCATTGCTATTAGATCCATTTCCTGAACCTTGGTTATCACCTTGGCCTTTACGTAAATTTGAAACATGTTAGGTTCCAAGATTTTATATGGTTAATACCCTAGGTTTGAACAGCAACTATACTAGTAACCATAATTTGTGTTGTATCTTTCTCAATATAATAGATTAGTAATAGAGATTGCACATAAGCACTACAATTAATTGAAATCCTTATGGTAATTTTGCATATAGCCAATGAGTTCAAGATTTTTCATTACTTGATGTGGCGATTCAACTTCCAGAGTAAGAATATCCCAATCTTTCATAAATCTATATGTAGAGATTCATCTGATAAGTGAATATAATACAAATTTCTTTCGTGTGGTCACTCTCTACATATTGAATAAACCGAATTTCATGAGTTTTTGGATGGTAAAAAAAGATGTCTAACGATCTTGATAATGGACTCGCTTGATCGGCTAAGCTATTTTTCATCTATTAAAAACTGAGCTCCGAACTATTCAATTAGGTGCTTGAGAGCACTCTAATTTCCAAACCAATAACTTTTATCGAAATTTAAATTTACCTTTAAGATTGTTTGCTCATTTTCTCTTGTAATCTTTGTCATTGCCGTTGCTACAAAAACATTAAATCGAAATGCTACTTTCAATGTGAGTAATAGTAATACATAGTAATAGCTCAAGTTTAAGTTCTTCGGATTACTAATTATTTTTGTAGGTCTCATTAATTTAACAATCAATTAATATCGATTACAATTGATTTGCAATATTAATAAATTATGATCAATTATTTTTAATTGATTGCGTATTGATCAGCAACCAATAATGATTGTTATCGATTTTTCTAATCGATGGCAATCGCCCCTGCGGCTGATAACCGATTCCCACTCTATTTAAAAATTTTCCAATGTTGCCAAAGGTTTGATACAAAACATATCATAGATTACACATATTTCAATACATTACACAAATTTTGATATATTATGCCAATATGTTACATTACACAAATTCATAACATTATGCCAATTTTATTAATAAATTTCTATTTTTATTTATTTTTAATTATTAATTAATGAATTAATTAATTAATTAATTTTTTATTTTTTTTAAAATATATGTGGTTATATAACCCTGATTTCAGTCACTGACTATTTTCATGGGAATTCAAATTCCTGTATATCACGTAACTTTGTCATTTGATTGGAGTTTCAAACTCTGTTTTGGTGGAGTTTGAAACTCCTCCAATTTCGCAGAAATGTGAAATCTGAAGTCATATGACTTTAGCACAATTTTGAAGTTTCAATTGCTTCTCTATTCTTGCTTTGCTCTCTTCACTCTTCTCTTTACCCTTACTCCACCCACCCTCACCCACTTACTACTCCCTTTCTTGTCACTCTCACTCTCTTTTTATTTAAAAAAAAATTTTTTTAACTTTTTTTTTTATAGGTTTATATCACTAATTAAAAAAGTGACACTTTTGCCTGCTTCATAGGCAAAAATATCACTTTTTTAATTAGTGACTGGAATTCCCAAATATTATAGTAAAGACTAGTTTATAAGACCTGGTCGGTGACCGGGTTCAAGTTTCAAATTTTTTGCTAATTCTTAGGCCTTAACGTTATTAGTTTATAAGACCTGGTCGGTAACTGGGTTCGAGTTCCTAATTTTTTGCTAATTCTTAGGCCTCAACATTATTAACTCTTAGGCCTAAATG